ACACACACACACACACACACACACACACACACACACACACACACACAGCTTTCTCTTCCTCACACCAGAGCACAATGATTTCCTAGAGAAAACACTCAAATAAAAGGTGCGCTGTGTGAAAGTCTATAGATCTGTGGTACAGAATCAGAGGAAACTGAAATTTCCACTGCGAGTCCTTCAAGGTGGCAGCACAGCCCCTTTAACTCCAGTCTGGGCCCTGGCCAGAGGACTCAGGAGTCCTCCTGAGTTTATAAAATGGAGACTCCGGAGGACAAAAACCTCCTTTTATTGGCGATCCATCACACCTTCCACTCTCTCTGAATCCGATAGCCTTACTGGGGAGCCGTTTTTTGGAGGGACAGAGGCCTACGATTCATCTTAAATCCTGCTCCACTTCTTTTTGGGCTAAGAGGGAATGAAACAAACAGTGGGCAAGGGATACGATTTGCATTTAGCCTCACAAGCTGCAATCTGTGATGCGTGTTTCAGCCTGTCACGCTAAGAGGACTTTAAAAAGAGAGAGTAATGCAAAAGGATGGGTCAACTGTGGTACAGTTGGAGGAAACAAACCAGGCTTGACTTGATTCTCTTAAGGGTTAATTATGTGGCACATGAGAGAGACTCCAGTGCTCTCCGCAGTAAATCCTGGAATGACCATCATGCGTGTACGATGCATTGGCTCATTTCCATCAAGGGAGAAGGACAAATATCCAGCGGAACAGGTCACGATAACAACAGCTGAAAGGAAAAGCTCCACTCCCTCAAAACCTGTTTGAAAAGGAGCCGTGAGAGAGGATCACTGACTCCTCTTAACAACACAAACATCTCCTCGCTGCTTACATTATATCTGTATACAATACCGACAGCAGCGTGTTTTAAAGGAGCCAAGCTGTGAGGAGGGAGTTGAGGGATGAAGGGCTTCATTTAAAAAGCTGGGTTTGACTTGTATTTCTCGTCGCAATGTCTCTGACACACTTCCAAATGAATCCAAACAGACTTGAACTGTGCTGTGAAAACAGAGAGCTTTGACAAATTCTCTTATCTTCTCTGTACTTGAGCAGAAGGGATGACAAAAATAATAATAAACGCTCCACTTGAAAGCAAAAGTAAAACTACTGTAGTGAATGAAATGTCAGCCTATGGATCTCTAGTGATCTCACTGTTGTCTTAAGAAGATTGTCTTTTCGAGTTCGTGGGGGGGGTAAAAAGGAGTTTCCACAGGTGTGAGGAGGAAGAGCTTCAAGAGACAAGTCACGTGAATAGCTGCAGTCAAAACGACTGTAGGTCAGCAACAGGTCCCCTCGTCTGACGCGTTAAAGATAACAAGTTGTTTTATAGCTCTCAATCAACGTCGCATGAAACATGCAGATTAGCCCAGTCGTGACTAGAATAATCACATATCAACTTTTTTTTTTTTTAAAGCTATCATTAGCTAACGCTAAATAATCCTCAAGTGTTGTTTTTTAACGTCAGTATTTTACTTCATTGTCAAAACCACAGCACCGACTAACTGTGTGACTTCACTGGTAGACAAGCGAGGAAGTCCAGTTATTGACAGCGCTAACAAACAAACAATAGTTTCAACACAACGTACGCGACAGTGACCCGGTACAAAAGCACCATTTATCTGGAGAAAGTACGAGGTTAACGACAGCTTGTTGGAGTTTACGTTACCTTCAACACTAGTTACATGTCTCGGAGGTTGCTATGGCCGCTGTCCCGTGTTCGTCAGGCTGACTGCGGTCTTCTTCCAGTCAAACCTCTTGCTTGCAGATGTCAGCATACCCACATCCTCCTCTTCTCCACGTTGTTGGGATTCTAACCGGTGTCAAAGCAGCACACGAAAACCATACATGTTCCGGTAATACCTTTCAGAATAAAAACACGGCGGGGCTGGTTTAAACGTGTGATGGACACTACACGGTACAACAGCACAAATGTATACAACCTTACGAGGATGTATAAAGAGTGAGGGCATAAGAGTTTCGTTTACAGTAGTTTACCACTTCCTCTTACTGTTTCCTCAAACTAACTTCCACATACAAAAAAGGAACAACTTTATTTTATCTTACTTCCGGTATTGGTAGCATCATCTCCAATTAGCTTGATGGAGCACATTGCTAACCACTGTTAGCTGTCATCAGGTCTCTGCTGTGCCTCTGGTTGTGTGTATTTGCTTGCTACTCATTTTTATTGAACTATTCAATCGTAAACTACGAAACAAAATCATGTATTCGCGGTAACGTCACCTAGTGAATGGTGTAGCTTATCCTGAAAACTTCCAGACGTGAGTTTTTGATAAGTTGTAGCGTAAAGTAAACAAAAGCTGCAACAATCATTCAACAATCAATCAACAATCAATCAACAATATTAAGGATAACTTTGTGTGTGTGTGTGTGTGTGTGTGTGTGTGTGTGTGTGTGTGTGTGTGTGTGTGTGTGTGTGTGTGTGTGTGAGCCTCATGGTGCCCATAGCTCACCTCACTAGTTGAAGTTCCTCCTTTAATTGATCAGTGTAATCTCTTAAAACATCTGTAATTTACTAAATTATAGAGCTATAAACTGCGACATCTGTAGCATATTAATGAACTGATCGACCCTTAGTCAGTATGTTAAGGATGTCACTGTTTGTACATCATAAACACAGTTTGATTGTCAACATACTTACGCAAAATGTGTGTTTATTTATTTTTGCCACATGTGCTCACATTGCAACACATTAGGCACTACCCTAAATGTTATTTTTTGCAGAACATAGATACATTTAACTGGGATCAAAGGCTTTAAAGAAGGAGTTAAGTTCATGCAATAGATTGATTTGTGTGATGCATCAGGTAAATGAAGCATGAGACATTTCTTTTCTTAGACTTGCATTTGGATGAGGCACGTTTGGATGAGTTTCAGATTTTTCCGCTTTCAGAATATATTATTTAGGGAGAGCGGTTAAATCATGTAGCTTTACTTGAGGTCGGGATGGATTTGACAAAATTGAAGTGTCACAAAGTGTCTTAAATCCCGTCGTTATGTTCACAAGAACGTTGAAAGGATCTATTGGTTCACCGCATGAATGGACAATGTGCCACATGCTCCTACACAAACAGACCTTCCCTCTGTGTGTTCGCCTTCATAAGCTTGGTTTGTTTTCCCATAGTCTCCATGTCCTGCTCACACCACACCACTCTTATATAGTTGTGCAGTGCACTGGTGCAGCCTGTTGTCAGGCAGACACCTGCGCCTCTTGGCAACTTGCCAATGTGCTTCATCCCTCCCTCTCTTTTCCTTCTCCTTCTCTTTCTCTCCTTTTCTTCTCCCCAGTTGAAACAAATTGACACCTCTCTTTCTCTCTCCCTCTCTCTGTGAGACTGATGTGCCCCCATCCGGAACTAAAAAAAGGATCCCATTTCCGTGATAGGGATCTGGAGCTTTCACAGCTACAAGAGGGACTCTTGTACAGGTCTTGCATTTCAACCTTTACCCTCATTAAAACTGTTAATGAGTAGATGCAACTTGCCCTGTTTTCTCTTCATTTAAAAACCCTATTTAATCAATTAAGAATCTAGTATTGGTTTCCTCTCTCCATTGTGAGGGAACAGAAGATTTGTGCATTAAAGAGCTTTAAGGCTATAAAGTTGAACCACTTTGGCAAAAGAAACTTTGTTCTACTGAGTTACTCTAAGAAAACAAGAGACAAGTAAGAGGTTTTATTGACATCCAGAGAAATTCCAGTGTTTTTGACCCTTATGTCGAGGATCTTGATTTTACTTGGTCAGTGGCCAACCAAGACTGTTACTGTCCCTTATGATAATCCACAGTTGGACTCAGTTCAGCAGAGCTTATGATTGAGATCTCTCTCGTTTGACGGATTTAAAGAACATGAGTCAAGCGGATTGGAAGAACCACATCAGTCAGTATTTGACCCGGTGCCATAAGCAGTAGATCAGATGTAGACAGTT